GGCTTCCCGACAGCCGAGGATGATGATGTTGCCGTCGTTCCCGGATTCTTCGCTCAAGGCAGAAAAGGAGAAAGCAACAAGCAGAGGCAGAGATCCATCGGCACCCACCTTCCGAGGAGCAATCTCTTTTTTGCTGGGAGAGGGCTGCTCCTCTTCGAATAGCCGAGCGTGTCGGAGCACATCCTCCTCCTCCTCCCCGAGCGGCTGCCGAAAGGCACTCGAGGAATGCACAAAAAAAAAAAACCTGAACGCCTCTAAGCTGGTTTCTCAGGACGAGCTTCTTGGGGGAGCACAGACGGGGAGAGACGCATCCCCAGGTGTTGCGGGAGGAGAGCTGCAGGAGAAGCTCTTCAAACGCAGGCAGGTGCCACGGGGTTGTCTGGCCTCCCACGCTGCTTTGTCAGGCGGCTGAACGGCTTTCCAGGCAGACACAAGCAACTTCAACATCAGTAAATACAACCGGGGCAAAACCCACACTCGATGGGCAGCGCGGGACCCCGGCTGCTGATGCAGCACCGGGAGCTGGTTGATGCACAAACCCCGACCCTCCGCTTTGCCCGTGCTCTTACGGGGTTTTCTCCAGCTGCTTTGGCTGGTGGTGGGTCAGAAATGATCTGCCACCCTTGAGGCTCAAGCCAAAACAGGGGTCCTGAAGATACCTTGGTAGCATCTAGATGACCACAGGACCTCAACGTCTCTTTAGCCGGCCTCAAAACAGCACCAAGCACCACTTTGCTGCAGCTCTGCGCTTCGACAGCCCCGTTCAGATCCGCTGCCTCAGCACAAGAGCCAGCACGAGGTCTAAGAACAAGAAGATGCTGCGGGTAAGCTCAGGGTTAGGGACAGCCTTGCTCCCCTCCCCACAGGCAGGTCAAGTGGAGGTCTAAGCACCCAAAAAATCAACACCCAAAATGCTGGGGTTTGCTTACAGCAGGGGTGAGTACCCAGCAACGACTACTACAAAAGAGTGGAGGGCTGGGAAGATGCTGGGAATTCAGCCAACGGTTGGGTAGGAAGGACCAAGGTTGCAGCTTAGGCTTGCTCACCCTCACACCCTGCTGCTGGGGGACGGACAGAGGGACACCCAGCTTGTCCAAGGCAAAGCTGGGATCACCAGGCACCCACCCATTGAACACCTCGACAGCCTCTGTTAGGAGGGTGCAGGCAGGCTTCGGACCAGCTGAAGTTCCACAGGGCCTTCCCTGTGAACGTGGACCATCTCTCCCAGATGTCTCCTCCAGCAGGAAGGTCCACAGCGTCCTCACAGCTCTGGAGGGGAGGAAGGCTCTGCACTGCATCAGAACAGGCATGAGCATCTTCAGGAGGGAGCCTAGATCCTGCCAGCTCCTACATCTCCTCACCCAATACCCCGATGGTTACCAGCCAGGTGGATTCACCCATCTAAACTCCTGTTCTCCCTTCATCCAGCGCCCACCAAAAGCTGCAATGCTCCAGCCTTTCCCCTGCCCACCTCCTCCTGCCACGGGCCGAGCACTTCCCCAACAGAGGGGACAGGGGCTCAGTCCCTGGAGACGTGGGCGGTGACAGAGCCTGGCTCACATCAGTGTCCATCAGGAGAAGCCACCAGCGGTAACAGGGTCAGCTGGCCACGCAGATGTCAAAGACACCACGTGTACTCAGCTCTGCCTACCCATATTTGATGATAATTTTTTTAATTTTTTTTTTTTTTTTTTTTTTAAAACCCTTCGTTGAGGCCGCCGCGCTCCGGGATGTAAGGAAGCACGCCCGCACAGCAGTCACCCTTGCTACTGCCTTGCCTGTCCTGCCAAGCTAAAGCCAACACCGAGCAGACGCGCTGCTGGGTTTGTGGTTTTTTTTTTTTTTACAGAGTTTTTTTTTAAAAAAAAAAGTTTAAAAGTGCTTTTGACCTGCCCCGTGACATTGCTCCCAGGGCGAGGGGGAGAGATGGCCTTTCCCAACCCCTGCCTCCCCCAGCTAAACTCACGCCTGCGAGCGGCACAGCACCGAGCTGTCGTTTTAAAGGCTGACTAAGCGCCGAAACACCAGCAGCTGATTAACAGCAGCTCACGGAAGCTTAATTTCTCGTGAAGTTGAAGAGTTGAAGATACTATTTTTTTTTCCCCCTTCTCCTTCCTCTCCGAGCCCTACCTCGCTACCTCGAAGCTTTATTTACACTTTTAACATCGCTGACAAGCTCCGCTTGCAGAACTGCAGCCCGACACCTCTCTGCTCCCCGCGGGGCGGCAAGGCCAGGCTCTGCCAGCCTCGGCTTTACGCAGGGCTCGGCTTTACGCAGGGCTCAGCTTGCATCTCCCAGAGGCCCAAACCAACTGCTTTTCCCCACGGGAATCAGGCGGAAGGGCCAAAGTCCACCCACACCCTGTTCCTTGCAAAGGCGGCTTGCAGGGCTGTGCCGTGGCGGGAGGTGTTTCCTGGTCAGTGGTTAAAACTGGTTAAAAAAAAATAAATAAATAAAATAAAACAACCCGAGCTCTTTGCAACTACAGATATAAACTCCCCGGAGAGCTCAGATCAGAGATAGCCTGAGCTGAAATTGCTGTGAGCGTATCAGGGTTTTTGCGGAGGGCTTCGTCAGCACTTGTTCCTGCGGTGGCAGCTTGCAGCGTGAAAGATAAAAACAAGGAACAAAAAAAGAAAAAAAAGAAAAAAAAAAAAAAGGGGGGGTGAGGGGGGTTGGGGAGATTTGAGACGATCAGAATAAAAAAAAAAAAAAAAAAACAGGAAGCTGCCGAAAAGCGTGTCGTCACATAGGCAGCGAGAAAATATTAGTAAAGCCAGCGCCCGGAGGTTTGGTCCTTCCTACAGAGGATGGTCCTGGGCGCAGGCTGGGCAGGAGGTGCGGCTGCAGGGCTGGAGGAGGAACCAGCCTGCAGCAAAAGCCCAGGGCGCTGCCCGGTTTTTGGGGCAGTCGGTGCACCTAAACCCTGCGTACAGGCCACAGGATTATTTACTGAACCGCGAGATTTCCCCTCCCCACCTCACGCTCTTGGTGGTTTTTCAGCTTGAGGAAGCAGCGCCGCTACCGAGGCACTTTTTGGGTGCAAGCGATTTGCAGGGCGGGCAGATTTCAGTTACCAGGACCCCTCGTTTCCCAAATTCAGGGTGAACGCCAGCGGATTATCTCAGTTTACCTTTCGCCACCAGCCAACAGGGCATTAGTACAGAGCAGTTCCCTTTTTCAAAGGGCTGAGAAAGTTCAGCTAGACTATTGGGAAATAAAAATCTAAACCGAAATCAAGTTATTGGCTCACCAGCCTTCAGATCTTGTTAAAGATGCACATCCAGTTCCGGGGATAGGAAAAGGAGATTCAAGAAGTAAAGCAAAAAGCTAAGGATCATCTCGGCCAAGTTTGCGATTCAGACATTTGCTGCGGAGCAGGTCGTGCTCTGATTTGCCTTGCAAAGTTACATTTGGATCCCGATAAAACTCGTTGTGGTTGGACAGACGGACAAAGTGCTACAGAATCCTGCAGGGGGATGGGGAGGGGGGAAGAAAAATCAATCTGGAAATCAAACTTTTTGCCCCGAAGGCATCACCCCCACGTATTTCGGGAGAAGCCCCGTGCCCACACCCGCAGGCAGTCTCATGCATCGGTACAGAGCCGGCTGGGGCCGGGAGCTCCTGCCCAAGGCCTCTGCTCTCTGCATACGACCTCGGTGAAGTTTCAAGGGCATCACCCACCGGCAGGGGAAAGCTTTTTGCTGAACCTGCCCTGAGGTGGGAGCTCACGAACAAGTTCTCACGGAAAAAGTGATTTGCCAACTTGACAGCAGCGACGCCAAAGACTTGGTATGAAACCACATCACCTCCGATACGCTCCGGGCTGCTCAGCAGCGGTTAAAAAGAAACAACCCCCAGCCTGCAAGTCAGTCAGAGTAGAAAAAGAGGGTTGGTTTGGTTTTTTTCCCCCCGCTCCCCCCAGAGATTTAGCGGACCAATTCAGAATTCCAGTTTGGGAACAGGAGCTCGTGGCACGGTAACGACAGCCCAGGCCCTGATGCTCCTGGTCGGCGGGCTCGGTCACCTCGCCACGCAGCGTATCGAGTGGCAGGGCTGGAAAGCAAGAGCTGTTTGTTCATTATTCATCACCATTTCCAAAAGCTCTCTAGCTCCTGTTTCACAGCTTCAACCCAGACCTCATGCCTCTTCCGGCACGAAACCCAACCACGATGCCTACAAAAAAAGTTCAGCGTCGATGGTGGTTCTCCAGAACCACTCCCAGCCCAAAATCCACGTGGGCAGTTCTGGAGAAGGGATGCATTTTCTGCCGGGAGTTATTCCCAAGAAGCAGCGACGATTGTGCTCTACTTTCTCGTCAGGGCACACGTGCTCACCTGCAGCAGCATCTCTAATGCACACCTCCCACAGAGGAGGTTTTCAAGCTGGTAAAGCGATGAGAAAAGGTCACGTCCCGCATCTTCAAAGCAAATTTCACCCCCCGTCGTCTCCAAAGGAGACCTGACGGCGTTTTTACCGGCAGGAAACCAACTGCACAGTCAGCTGGTCCTGCCAGGAGCGACACCCTGCCTCGGTTAGTTTTGTGCTCACATTTTCCAGTGACAAGAGAGAACAGCGGTGGGCCACGGTTAAACAGCCACGTGTACCCCGCGGGCCTCCGTTCATGGGGAGAGGGGAGAAAAAAAAATAATAATTCACACTTAAATCGGCACATGTGCAGGGGACAGAGACATGGCGACGGCTGCTGAATTCAAGGGAGCCTAAAAAGCAGGGCAGCCTCAATGCTCCCTCTGACGGCACCAAACCCCCCCCCTGCTGCCCCCAGAAACCCTGCAAGTCAGCCCCAGGCTTTTCCTTTTTATTCCCTCATCTCGGATCACTTACCTCATGAGATCAAATTCACACTAAAAATAACCAACTAAATAAATAAATAAATTGCACGTTAGAAGCCAAGGCAAGATCCTAATTAGCAAAACACGAGCGCCAGCGCCTGAACGATGCATACGAGAGAGACGAGTGGGAATAAATAAATAATTACTTGTGCTTGACGGTCTCCTCTTCGTCGTCGTCTCTGAACTGCTTGTTCTCACGTTCGCCGCTGTCCTTATTCTGAAAGAAGGAGAAGTTGATCTGTCAGGTTTTGGCCTCTCTGGAAATGCCAGAGAGCAAACAGCAGCTCAGAAACCCTCCCGGGGAGGGCACAGGGCAGGCAAACAGCAAGGCATGCTTTGAAATGACTTTTAAATTACGATGCCTTTAAATTAAGCCTGTTTTCCTTTTTCCCCCCCTTTAGTATTCTCCTTGTAGAGATAGCACGATAAACCAAGGTAAGAACGGACAAGCAAAATTTCACTTCCCTCTTGGAAGCGATCGCGCTGCTCAGCACCGATATCCCCTGTTATTACCGATAACTGCATCAACACCGAGAGCAAACAGCAATCAGGAACGGAGAGCAGAAACCTCGTCCCGTGTTTGAATCAGCACCTCGTGTCAAACGGCGGAGCAAAAAGAAATTGGGGCACCCAGCAAAACTGCCCCGCGGCCACGTACGCCTTCACCACGGCCAGGGACCTGCAGTTAAATCCCGTGCTCCCTGATCCAGAGGAAACGACGGATATTGTCGCGTTGGGTGAAGGGAACTACGGGCAGACAGAAGAGATGGGAAAAGTTTAGGGAGGGGGCAAGCCCCCGCTCGGCTGGCTCGCCACGCCGCAGATCACCTGCAAAAATGCGGGGTGCGGACGTCAGCGGGCGTCGCACAGGTCCCTTTTTCCTTCTCCGAAATAATCATTTCCAGACATTTTACCGGGTTGCAAAACAAGGCGGCAGAAATCAAACAGCGAGCAGGACAACACGGGGCGTCATGTCAGCTCCCAGAAACACCGGGCAGTAACATAAATCAAATTTCTCGTTAGCAGGGCATTACAGTATCGTAAAGGGGCTCATTTTGCATCATCCCGACACCGGCACGAACTTATTAGTCAAGTTATCGATTATATTTATTATCCAGAGAGGCACAGGTATCGGACGTTGCCAGTATCGAGCTGGAAAGGGGTTTGTTTGGTGCTCACACTGATTAACTGATTCCCTTCAGCCGCCAACCAAAGCGTGCCCCGCGGCAAACACAGCCGCCCTTACTTCGCAGAGTCCGTCGCAAACGCGAGGAACGAGCGACTTCTTCGGAAGCCGTCGCTTTGCTGATTGAACTCCCCCGTCACCCTCCAAAATGAAAAGCAGCTCCAGCAGACAGCACGTGAAGTCTTTATTTCCTTGAGCGTGGCGGGTTGCAGGAGCAGCATTACCCGAGTTACCTGGTAATAAACACACGGCGTTCGTAATATCTGGCTACGATTCACGTTGCCGCAAAGGCGCGGGGGCTGTGCGCCAACGTTCATCTCTGCCTTTCAAGGGGAACAGCTCGGAGACCAGAGGAATTCGTTTCAAGAAATGGCCTTTCATCGGCACCGCAAAAGTTACCGGGTCCTTTTCACCCAATTCAAAGAGACGAAGCCCTCTTAGGTCTTTTTTCACCCCTGAAACAGGCGCACATCTCGCTTTGGAAAATCGCAAGGAAAAATTGGTTATTACCCGAGCACGACCGACATCACTTTCAGATCCGAAATTACTTCGGTTAATCACTTGCTCTCCTAAAAGCTGCGCTGGAGAGTTCAGATATCTAACAGCCAACTTCAGGATACCAAAATTATTCACCAGCTAAACTTATTCCTAACCTCTGAAAGAGCCCAGAAAGGTTTCCCCAGACAACAGCCTGCTTATCACGTGCATCTCGACTACGCGAACTTTAAAGCTCCTATTCTGCAACCTGGGTTAAAAATTAGATGACAGGCAAACAGGAGAGCTAGCCAGCTCCGTTCTGGTTCAGGCACATCGGTGACTGGAGCTGGTCAGGTTCAGCTCCTGAGCAAAGGGCAAGAAGAACGGTCCTGTCCTCTTAGAAAGGAGGAAAAAAGAAAGAAATCATTGCTACAGCCAATACTTGGTTCAGTTTTAACTCCCCGTTTGTGATTTTATTTTGAAGCCCGTAGTAACCTCGTGATATTTGCAGGGACGTTTCTGGTTCAATAAAGACCGTGAGCTTCGTTCAGACGAGCACGTGCAGCCCTCCATAACCTTCTGGCATGAGCTTAGTGCCAGGTAATATTTAGACACCCTTCGGTCCACGTTATTTAAAGGTGTGGGAAGCACCTTCTTGCGCTCTTCAAGTCCTTTCCCATTCCTTTTACCTCTTCATACTTGTAGCACATGCGCGTGGAACCTACGTTCCCCTCATTCTCGCCTGAATTTCTTTTATCCGGCAGGGTTATAAGCAGGTTCTGAAAACCTAAGGAGATATTTGGCAAAAATATTCACATCGAGCCACGGCTGTTCTTGCCACCGCTCTTGGCAGCGCTGCAAATCCTTCTTTTCCCTGTATGCTGAAATAATTTGATACTGAAATCCTACCACTCTTCCAGAGCTTGCCCAAAACCCCCTATTTCAATTTATTCCCCGTTACCACCCAAATATTTTTCTGAAGTCACAGAATAGAATCATAGAATCGTCTAGGCTGGAAAAGACCTTTAAGATCATCAAGTCCAACCATTCCCCTAACCCTGCCATCCCACCACTAAACCCTGGCCCTAAGCACCTCATCTCTCCTTCTTTTAAATCCCTCCAGGGATGGGGACTCGACCACCTCCCTGGGCAGCCCCTTCCAGAGCCTGAAACTCCTAGAAAAATCAAGCATGCCAACAGCAAATGCAACTTCATGTGACACATCCAGCAGTGCCTTCAACCAGGGACTTTTTCTCTGCGACGGCTCTCCTCGTAGTGCCTTCTCGGATGGTAGGGAGCAGGCGCACTGCCCGCCAGCAACGTAAGAACGGGTGCAGGAGTCTCCCTTGGGAACGTCCTGAGCCGGAAGGAAGGAGATACGGTCCCTCCTGTACTTCAGCAGAAGGGAACAAAGGATAATGAGGCTTGCAGCACAGTTCAAGGAGACGGCGTAACCGCACGTAGCCTGCCCGCTCATCACCGACACGACTGCCCTCTAAATTATCCTCCCTGCCATCATCCGCCGCTAATCAGGCTCCGCCAGACAGATCAGCGCGCAAGCGGAACACAAACGAGGTCTGAAATGGATGTCTGAAGTCAGGCCCCGCCACCCCCCAGCAAGAGAAATTAATGCCGGTTCCTCTGTTTGCAAAACGGTCTGTAAACAAGATTTCGGTTTCATTAGCAGAGTGACGAAAACCCCCGGCCGCAGGGCAGAGGCAACACGTGGCGAAGAGGCCGCCAACCTCCAGCAGCGTCGGGAACGGTCGCAGCTCTGCAAAGAGGCAGCTCAGCACCGACTCTACCACCAAAAAAAACCCCAAAAAACCAAACCAATAAAAATTAAACTATCTAAAGCAATATTTGATGGATGCGGTAGAGGAGGATGGCCGCTCCTCTTCTGATCGCCGAGCTTTTTTGCTTGCATTTCCAGCCAGGCTGCTCTGCCTTCCCCCTGCACACACGGTCCCTACCCGCAGAGCTTACCACGAGGGCTTCCTGCGCCGCCGCCTTCCAGCGCCTGAATTCACGCGAGCTGAAAAAAGGCAAAGCGGTGAGGTGACGGTGGCTTCCTCTCCATGCTGCGGGGAAGGAGCCATCCCGGGTTTTTAAATATAAAGCGCAGGCGATTCAAAGCGCTTCTCGATGGTTTTACACTGGAGCAGGCGGCGAGCGGGGTGCAGGGGTAGCGGCACCCAGCCAGCCAGGCGTTGGGGCACATCCCTCCTCTGCTTTCCACGCTTCCTCACCCAAAATGCTGGGGTTTCCCCCTGCATAAGAAAGCTGGACTTTAAATTCCTCCGGTAGAAAGAGGCAATTCAAGCGCCTGCAGTAGAGATCGCACCCAGCCGGACATGGAACGGAAAGGGCTGATGGGTGCTCACAGCAGCTTGACCTGTTAGATCCCTTAAATTTAATTAATTGCCCACTACCACCCTAATATTTTCTAAATTCATAGTGATATTCCTAGAAAAAATTCTCTTAGATCCCCTTGGAGATCATTCCTCCACCATAAAAACCAGAGCTGTGCCCCATTGCTTGGCAATGCCCGCAGCCGTTGGCTAGCCATAGAAAAGTTTTACCGTGGCAAGCTTTGCCCACATCTCCTGTGCTCTCCAGGTAGTGACTCTGAAATTTATATTAAAAACACTTTAGCCTGAACAAGTCCAGCCAAACTCTTCAGGGAATACCCATCTGAAATCCCTGGGGTATCAGCAAAGAGCTGAAACGCTGTACGACACCGACCTCACGTGCAGGCACGGCATCGTCTGCCGAGGGACCGCGTGCGCACTCATCCTCTCCAGCGCGAAGGCAACCGGAGCAGCTCATGCTGTGTCCGTCAACGCTGTAGATGAACCTGGCCAAGATATGAAGCCTCCTTGTTCACATCACCTTGCCCGAGCATAGCTGAGAGATGGTGGTGTTGAGAGTGCCATTAATAAGAAGACAGAAAGCGGGGAAAGAACGTTCCCCTGATGCTCGGCTTAGCGCCAAAGTGGACGACAAAGTGCCCTTGCGAAGAGAAGCAATGGGGGACTGCAACCAACATCTCCTTCCTCCTGCACACAACCGGCTGCGCGGACGTGGAGGACCTTCCCTCTCCAGGCCGCTCCTGCAGGTGCAGAACCTGAAACCCCACGCTAGATACGGAGCCTGCGGGGAGGATGCCGGGCCTCCTCGGGAGCAAAGGGCCGTAGAACAGCAGATCCCGTTACCGTGATCATTTATTGATAAGGAGACGGCCTCTCAAACATGCAACTTCTCTTACAGCTCCATGTTTTACCACTGCCCCATGTCTCTTCTCTGCCCACAGTGGATTTATCCGATCCCTCAAGACTTTGACGCAGCAGCGATGTCTTGGGGTCCTCCACTTTGCTGCAAATTTTTGCCTTGAGATCTGCCCCATCATCGTCATCCTCTTCACGTATTTCTGTTCAACAGCTGTGTCACAACTTTCATTTCTTAACTACGGAAAAGGAAGGATTCCTCCCCAAAACAGCGCTTGCCCTAATTACCAGTTCATCCCTCCGGTGGTTTAATGCGTTTCCCTTTGC